TCAACGTCGGGGACCTCGTTCTCCGCCTTGTCTAGAGCAACAAGGACCGCCACAAGCTCTCCCCACCCTGGGAAGGGCCATACGTCGTCTCGGAAGTACTCTGGCTAGGCGCCTACAAGTTGAAAACCATCGACGGCGAGATCTTCACCAACGCTTGGAACATTGAGCAGCTACATCGTTTTTACCCTTAAATAGACACATACTTTTCCTTGTCAGTTCTTATCTTCAAGAAATCCCCGATCTTTAGTGACATCCGACCCCTGCAAATTGTGAGGGGTCGGACCTCACTCGGGGGCTGATATAAGTACGTTTATCTTACAAACACTCCATGTGTTATCTTTGCAAACATTCTCTATGTTTTCCATTCCTCTCATAACAAGTCCTGAGGGCTGTGATTTCGGGAACAAAGTCTGAGTACAACTGGTTGGACTGCGGGAAACCCACATCCCAGCGGCTACGGCCTCCTTGCTCACCAGCGTGATCAGAATTGATTCGCCCGCACTCCTAGTTCTTGCGATCTGAACCATGGGAAGGGTCGGAAGGCACCCAAGCCTCTTTTACAAAAAGAGGGAGAAAAGTTGAAAAGCGGTTTGCCGCAACGAAAGTTGAAAACTTGTTCATTTTTTGCACAAATTCTTCGCTTACAAAGTGATTCCACCATGAAAAGGACTAATGTATTCATAAATACAAAAGACTCTTCACTCGGGGGCTCCCCCACAAACTTATTCGATTACAGTTTCTGACCAAGTTCGACTATGAGCACTACTACGGTCGCCGCGCCACGCTCTCCATCGGCGACGTCCTACTGCTCCGTAGGATCCTCGAGGGCGCCATCATCTGCAATGTCAAGCACCACGGCAGCGACTATGGCACCTCCGCCGGGGTGTCCAGGGACTACGCCATCGTGATCAGCCGCAACCCTGACAACGGCACCTCCGCTGGGGCGTCCAGGGACTGCGCCATCGTGATCAGCCGCAACCCTGATAACAACACCCTCGCCGGAGCGTCCAGGGACTACGCCATCGTCATCAGCCACAACCCTGACAACGGCGTCCGGGCGGAGGGCGTCTCCCGCTAAAGAAAGGCCACAACAAACGATGGCAAAGCTGACGATGCTCAGCACCCTCCAGCGCGCCTCCTCCTTCGGCAGCAGCGGCCCCTTCTCGGCAAAGGTGGCCAGCACCATCTCATCTACGTCAGATGACCTCCAGCTCGACATCGCACTCTGGATTCACGAATGGATCTATGAGTTCTCCTCCCCCTCGCATTACCCTCGCTCACTTAGGAATCACAGTGACATACGAACACGTTCGGTGAGAAGGAGAAAGGAGGAAAGGTAACGGCCCAAGAACAGGCGAAGGAATGGGATGAGAACTCCCCTCTCCCTCCCTATTTAAGGAAGAGGCGTGGTAGCTAAGGAAAGGTAAAAGGTTGGGGCGGAAAACTCTCTTCCTTCCCTTATTCAATGCAGATGAGAAATCAATGCCAACGAGAATCCGAGGGGACGCGCCGGAACCAACGGGACGCGCTCTGGTCGATGAGACATCGCCTGGTCAAATAGGGCGTG